GCTGAGGCTCAGAAGCTGAAGGCCGAAAGGCAGCGTTCCGGCCATGAGCAAAGCTTGCGCGGGAAGTCCATGATTGTGCCAAGGCCCGTGTCATCCAAATTCTTGACCAAGGCCATCATGAAAATCCGAGATGTCATGCTTCCAGATGTTGCCTAATCCAGCTGTGCAGCTGAACCAAGTTGCCCCCTATCTGCTGCTTACGGATGCCCGCCCACGAGCTCCTCACCCAACAAGATTTCTTGTTTCCCAAACTACGGGGACCCCAATATAGACCCCACAATGCACACTGTCATCCTTATTATGGGGACCCCTAGTAAGATACCTCCCATGTTGGGAAACCCCCATTTCTTGTTTTCAGGTTTTCAGGCTTTGGCCTTTAGTCGCACTGTTGCCTTGGAGCCTCGGAGGCTTGGAGGCCTAAACTCAAAAACCCTAAACCCTGAACCCAAAACCCTAAGCCCTAAACCAAGGAATGGAAAAGAACATGGAAACTACCGCACAACCTCCTTCGCATGAGCGTAAGCGGCGACTTTTTGTCCTGCGCAACTTTCCTTGGGGATGCTGTCCTTTGCAACGTGGGGGTTTCCATCAATAGAGGGCCACTCTTTCTGGGCGTTCCTATAAGAAGGAGTGTAACAGTATGTCGGGGCCTACCGTAGGGCCCGCTATTTATGGAAACTACCACCACCATGTAGCTTTATGGGCAGTGCCTGCTGGGCATGTCCAGGTCATAGTAATCTGCGGGCAACCTCGTGGTACACCTTCAAGCCTCGTCTGTGCCGCAAGATGACGGTGAGGCTTGCGCGAAGTCTCTCTGTTGTTTGCACTTTGCTCCCAACAGCTGTGGCCATGCGTCGTCGCTCGTCGTTGGCTGCGCCGTGTTGCCGTGCCGTTACGAAATGTAGAAGCTACATGCACAAGAAGCCGGATGCCGGAGCTAGACTGACATCGGCGAGCCGTTTATGCCGCACTGTTCTCCATGCAAACTGAAGTGAAGAGCCAACAGGCCCGCAGTTAGCCCAAAGTCAACGTACATGAGTTGTGAGTTGTGGTCAGCTGCCGTCTTTACCTACTTCCTGCATATTGAGAGAGGCGTACGCAGTTTGACGTCAGCAGGCAGAGCACTGCAAGAGTGAGCGATGCGTCTTGCTTAGCCTTGGTCAATATAGCACCCTGATCATCTGCAACATCACAAATCCCTCACAGCCGCAGCTGCTGGCAAACCATTGGTTTGTTTGTAAGCTTCGTGGGTGCTCTGCGCAGATTCAGATTCGACAATCTCGATGAGGGAGTACGACAAGTCATACTGTGCAGCTTGGTCAGTTCAGCCGTCCACCGCGTGGGCAGACGCTGCTCTTGTTTCAAATGGTCGTTTCATTCTTATCTCGCAACACTTTTGAAGATCCCAGGCCTCTGCAACCACTCACTTGTGTTGCATGTTCCAGGGGCTTGTGCACCGCATTGCTCAGCACTCTCTGCCTAACCGTGTGTTCTTATGCTTCATTCCAATTCAAGCACTTCACCGCCGCTGAGTGCATTGAGGCGGGGTCTCTGGACAGTTGGTGCTGAAATGGAGTGTGACAAAGTTCCAGAAATTTGTGCAGTAGCAAAGCTGTGTTTACTGGCACAGATGAATGTAGCAAACGGTGGGGGCTTCAATGCCTGCAAACATAGCCTTGAACATATCTTTCGCGGGTGGAGTACATGTTGCCTGCAGCCATGCATATCACACCCAAGTTAGATGAAGTTCCCCCTTTGCAATACAACTCTGCGGGGGGCCAGCCAGGAACCCCTTAGTGGTTAACCCACGACATCACACGACCATGTTTCAAAATTCATTTTCCATCTTCTTTTCCAGTTGATTTTGCATGAATGAGTGAATAAGGCAATATTATCAAACCCTCAATCGTAAACCCTAAACCTTGAACCCTGAACCCTAAACCCAAAAACAGCATATACTGAAGCCTAGCTCCCTGTAGAGGTCTGGGACGTTTAGCCCCCTTGGGGCTCTTCAGAAGTCGATCGGCAGCTGCTGCACGGGGCTAGGTTCCTTGCCTCATTTTGGAGGGGTTTTGTGTTGTAGGGGTTCTGAGCCAATCCTTGGGTTGCAACTTTAAGAATCAGTGTACGAAAGTCAGGCGGTGACTCTCGAGAAGAGATTTGAGAGTTGGCGGGGTAGGGTTCGACTTTTCCTGATCTAAAGTAGCTGCAGACACAACACGTGTTGCCAAGGTTTTGCCCGGGAATTGTGTGGATCACAGTTAACCTCCCAGACTTTGCATGTTGCCGTGATGGGATAAGACTTGCTACAGCTACCTGGATCCTGCTGTCTGCCCAGATACTTAAGGGGGACTGGAACCCCAATATATACCCTATTAAATTATGATTTAGTAGTTTCCATGTTCTTTTCCATAATCCCTATATAATCCCAATAATATACCCNNATCTACCTAAGGGGGACTAGGATAGCAGGACAAGGAACGCCACGTAATTAAGCCAAGTCAAGGCATCAAAAAACCTTCAACCTCACCCAGCAGCTGGAACGGCGAATCCCTGGTTTGATTTTGGTGTTGCCTGATAGCAGGATGCAGGATTGAGTTGGTGGGACCTTGCTCAACTTTAGCACTTTATGATTATTGGGAGTTCCAATTTAATGGGGGCTAAGGGTGAGACTTTGATTGCGGGATTCAAGAGCAACCAAGTTGAGTTTGCAAAAGACCCAACGTGCGCCGGCATGCCTTCAGGCTGGGAGAGAGACGTTTTCAAAAAGCAGAGAGGCCGCTGACCTGCTTGCGGGCAAAGTAAAAGCTCCGATTTGCTTTGCAGTCCTGACGTTCGTTTGGAGATGCGTAGGGTGTGACTAATCCGTATAGACGCTGTTGATGCGACGTGATGCGTTGTCGGGAAACTGCCAGCAAGTCTGCAGTGCATCTAGACCTTTGGAACCACGATTGGGACATCCTGGACTGTTGTAAACCCTAAACCCTAAACCCTTTGTGCCGTGTTGTGTTGGCTTTCAGCTTACGTTTTTCTTCCCAGCTGTGACTGCCCTCTTGTATAGCGGCCTGGGACCAAGAATGCCGGGAATGATTTTAGGGTTTAGGGACCTGTTCCTGGGTTGCTGCTAAGGAACCTAAGTTAGCATTATATGGGTATGTAGTAAAGAAAAGGGTTTCCTTATGATAGCAATCTAAATTAAGTTCCTGAACAGCAGCCCACTCTTCAACCCTAAGCCCTAAACC